GTCTAGGTGTTATGCTCCGTCGTGCCAACGAGCAAATAACCAACTTCAGATTGGCGCAGATCACCATCTGTTCTTATGTATCAACTTCTGGCGCAGCTCTCAACGGGGCGCTCGAATTCAACTCGATTCCGAGCAGGTCACGGTTGTGGCGACCAAATCTTCACGCTGCGTCCAGTCCGCGAGCTGCGCCATACACCGTCGACCAACGCATGTCGTGCTCCTTGAACTAAATGTAGCCTTCGATTCAGTTGACCGCGAAGCCCTGATTAGTTCACTTAATCGCAAAAGCTTGCCTCAGAATTATTTGAACCTATTGAGGTGGCTCTACTCACAATTCTGGTAGCGTAGGGGTATACGGCGAGCCGAGTAGATCGTTCGAAACTAGCTACGTTATTCGTCAGGAGTACCCTGTTTTGCCATTTATGTTCTACGTCGTCATAAACGAAATCCTGGAGTAAGCACCAAGTTGTCTCCGAAATGTAGATATTAAATTCGCAGCTGAAGGAAAGCTGAGGTCTGGAGTATGCCGACGACAGTTTTATTTCGAATACATGGGGGATTTGCAAAGCGTACTTGACAGACCATGTTCTATGATTTGATTTGCTGCGAGATCGTCACAACTTCAAACTGGTGAAGAATCAGCCGGAATTGACTGCTTATCGTACTTGGGTACCTGCGTGACCAACGACGGTAGCGCTACCAAGGAGATAATGGCACGCTCGAGCGGCGTACGCAGGAATAAAGGACCTGTGGTGAGGACGTGACGTTTCACCGAAGTTGAAATCTCGTGTATAATTCGCCACTATTAGACCACTTCTCCTTTACGGTTATGAAACCTTGGATTTACGAGTAGAAGGCCTCCCTCGCCTCTTCGGCGTTCGAGGTTTGTGAAGATTAGCCTAGGAGGGATGGAGTTAGCGCGATAATAAACTAGAGATAAGCCTTCGGGTGTTTGGGAACGCACCGAAGAGGAACTCGCTGTTGCGTTGAATTCAGCCTATTCGACTCCGTTCGTTCGGACACGTTTTGAGCATGTCTATCCGTCGCCTACCGCAGCGCGACTTATTTGCAGTTTCGGCTCTAGGCTGGAGAAGGCTACGCAGATGTCTCATCCAGAATCGGTGATCACTATCGACGTCTGGTCGTCACAGGGACTTGCGGGAAAGATGAACGTGAACAGGGATTGTGCTTTGCGGTCAGAGTCATAAACCGGTAGACAGAGCGAGCAAGCAGGATATTCAAGCAACGGCGTCCATCTGGTCAACCGTGTGCTTTCGGTTGCATGCGTTCAATCATTTCCCGGTCCGCCGCCGATTGTGTTCAGCTCACCGATCAGTTGGCATAGATGAATGCGGCTCGCTCGGGAATAGCACGAACGTGTCTTTTTGCCATTCGCTTGGTGTCCCGTCATGGCCGAAATACTACATAATGGCCTATTTAGTTTTTCGTTATGCTGGATTTGATGCTGAATATAAGCTATGTTGCTTGGAGTGCGTGTTCGACGGAGTATTTCGTTCATCATGGATTTCCATTTCGTGCTTGCCTCGGTCCGAACTATCCCTGACATATTGTCGTACAGGCATCTTTTGTTCCGTGGAAACGATACTGCTACATAGCTCTAGCCAAAGCGGCGGATTTACTTGGCGCTTTTTGTAGTCAGAGCCTCGGGTTAACGAAAGCCTAATTTGCAAAGCACTAGGAGGTTGAAAGTTGTCCAATTCGGTGAGTGATCCATATTTTAATGTTCAATTCACTAACGAGCCGATCCGGGTGTCATGGGATTATTTTTCTTCGGCTCTTCTGTATAGGTTTCAACTCAGTATCTATCTGTTCACTGTCGTTCATTCTGCGCATTTCGTGGACCTATGAGTTTTGCTGTCTTGGGTTGTTGAAGTCGCGAACCGGTGCTGCTTCGCGATCAAGTGTTCACTGCCTCTGAATGGAAAATAAAACCAACGGCATCTGGAAGAACAGTACGAAGCTCGTCCACCCGGATGATGATGGTACAGAATGATCGCATATTGTAATAACTAATTGCGCGTATTTCTGTGGCTGGAGCATCAAACGCATCGATGGATTTGTCAAAATTCAATATGACTCAGTACGATCAAATGTGCCATATTGCTGTTCTGCGGTGCCTCGGTCTCACTCGTGAGGATATGTTGAGCACTTATGTCCGTCGTCCGGGGATGCTACATTCTCTACAATTACTATTTTCAGTTCTGAAGATGATCTTAGGTTATTTTTTCACCTTCAAGCTATTATCGTGTCCGCGAGGATAAGTCGGCCTCTTGAATGTACCTGTCTGCAGCCAGTCGTCCGTTGCAATCCGAGGTGAGGGCCGCGCATTAGAAATCAAGTTGCCACAACTAAACAATCATCTGAAGACATAGACTATCTAAATTCAACTTGATTAGCTGTTCAGACGGCAAGGTGACATTTCCGAATTCGGACAAGATGTAAGCTATAGAATTTTCCTTGTTAGCTTAGATTCTGACCAGTGGAGGGTATGGTTGAACCATTGAAGTCGGTGGCGTCGGAGAGCCAAGGATAAACCCTCTTTATATCTCCACAGCAGTGACGGATAGCTTCGTTTGAAATGTGGTCATACGACTAGATTGTTATCATATCGAAGGTGTCCGTTGTCGGCGCTTTTCAGTTCCTTGTCATCCTCTGTCAATGATCCCGTCTCGCAGGCGTATGTGAGGAGTTCAATTCAGTTTTTAAAATCATTAATCTTGTACTTTCATGTGCCGTGTATGCAAGGACAGAGCGAACAACCATTCAATTGGCGGGTGGTTGTCAATGGAATCTTATTCCTCTGCGCATCCACAAGGTTTCTTAAAGCTATATGAATTCCCTCCATGCGCCGTCGATACGAAAGTTCACGTCATCTTTGACTTAACCGTCGACCTAGATGGTAGATCCTAGATACTTGAAGTGGCGTACCAGTTCTAATGTTTCACCGTTGACGATAGGGTAGGCCGTGACGGGTCTGGGGACGTTGTGATGAACTGTGAGGTGTTCATACTCAGACCGATGGTCTCGGATTCACATTCGATACTGGTAAGCATCGAAGGTAGACTGACAGGATCGTGTTCTAAATTGACATCG